CGAAGTGGAGGCAAAGAGACGGTGATAAGATGAACAGTAACCGACACAAATGAATGTCAAATGATCGGTCATCTGGAAAATAAAAATGAACACGACGGTTGATATGTGTGAACATTAAATGAAGTGGGCCTCTATTTTGGTTGATGTTGAATTTTCTAGTCAAATAAAAACGAAAGCACAGTAGATATGCGTACACGTGAAGGTAAAGGAACAGAAGATATTTTTTATAATACAAAAATCGAGATACGATGAACAATAAAGAACACAGAGTAATAGACGGTGATAAGATAAACAGTAACCGACACCAGGTACCAGGTGCTCAGAAAGAATGAATAACACACTAATGGATATGTGTGAATATATATTAAATGAAATAGGCCTGTACTTGGTTAAAGTTATTAAAAAGGAGGAAAATACGGCACTGTTCCATATCTAGTTTAAAACCAGTTACAGTGTGAAAGGTAGGGCACAGATTGAATAGTGAAAATCGGATCCTCTCTTTTATAGGAGGTTGATTTTTAAGAATGGCATTCTTTTAAGGGTACTTGAATAAGTNNNTGAAAAAGTTGACCAATTTTTATGGGAAAATTATAAAAAAACAGGAGTTTAAAGATTAGAGTGCAAAAATCAGGTAAGAAGATTTTTTAATCAAAATTCAGGTATTAATTTAAAAATTAAATATTATTCCCACCCTATCCAATCCCAAACCCTAAATCATTTTTCATCTCCCTCTTTCTCTCTCTACCCGCCTCTTCCCGTCGCCTGTCTCTCTCCCGACGGACCTACCTTCTTTTTCTCTTCTCTACCTTTGCCACCCCAATCGATGACAACAAGCGGCAACAACATCTACCGACGTCCGGCCACCATCGATGGAGCGTCGAGTGATTTGAAGCGGCGTCGGCGATTTGAAGCCGTCACCTTTCCCCTTTCCTCTCCCCCGCATCTTCTCCCTTCTCTCCTTTTTCAGTTGGTTGTTTTGATTTGTGAGCTATTCAATTTTTTGTTGGTTGTTTTAATTTGTGGTGGTTGATGGTTCATGTGGTATAGACGGTGGTGCGGTGCGGTGGTGGTTGCACCGCCGCACACATTTTCCCTTCTCTGCGCCGTTTCACAGTGCCTCTTCCTGCGATCTGCAATGGATCTTTGTTGGGGTGATCGTTGTGGTGGTGGATCGCGCGAAGCTGGCGTTCACGGGGTGTGTGCCGTTCGCGGCTATCGGCTGGTGTTCAGTGGGTGTGTGTGTGCTGTGAACGGCAGCCAGGGAGTGGATTTGGCATTTGACTACAGATGTGGTGTGTGGTAGGTTCAGATCTGGTTGGTAGTGGTGTTGATAGTCTGTGGTTGAATGCTACGGTAGTGGTGGGTATGTCTGCGCGCTGTGGGTGCGTCTGCGCGCTGTCGGTGCGGTGCGGTGGTATTGGCGGCGTGGGTGTGTGGTTTTTGACCAGTCTGGAGTGTGTGGTGGGTTGGTAGGTTGGGGTGGTGGCGGTGCTTTGTTTGGTGGCTGTGGGTGGTGGTGGTGTTTTGTGTGGTGATAGTGGCTGAAGTAGTGCTACTGATATGTGACCAAGTATTTGGTTATCTGTGACCAAGTATTTAACTGTGACCTAAAAATTTGACAATGTGTGATAGAAAAATAATTTGTGACCAACAAATTTGAAAATATGTGACCAATGAAATTAACTATTTTTTTATCTATGACCTAAAAATTATATAATCTGTGACCGTAAAAATTCTGTGACCAATTAATTTGGAAAT